ACGGTGAAATAAATTATTGCGACTTCCGGCCATCGTTGTACAGTGAGAAACTTAACCTAGGTTAAAGACTTACGATGAAAATGGACAGTATTACAGTCTCTTCGCACGAGAACGTGTACAACTTACAAATTTAACCTACTAACGTTACTATGTACAAGACATTTGGTTCTTTTAGCTGTACGTCCAAGCCGCTGTAAGTGCACTTGGAAAGATTTTACTATAATACAAGGCACAATGTGATTTTATACATAAGTGGAAAAAAGGAAAGGAAAATCTAGCAATCTCGAGTTCCCTGTTACGAAGGCACCGTTGATTATTACCAGGAAAAATTCGCTAAAATTATACATTTTCTTCGCTCGAGATTGCTTCACATTAGAAAATACGTCTATAGCTCACTCTGTAACATCAGAGGCCCAAATGAGTATTCAACATCTTTGGCTCTAATTCGCGAATTAAATAACAACAGTATAAAAATCTGACAACCGTCAATGCATCGCAACTGTATTCACATTATGTGCTATTAAAGGTAATCAGACGATCGATCGATCCTCTAATTACTTCAATTAGTACAGTATATCCTATAACACACTTTATATTTCTCCAAGTGAGTTCTCGATACCCAAACGAGTACAACATTCGTAGAATACAATGTTTCAGGGTGAACGAAGAGGAATCTGTGGAGGAACTTGTTGTCACACTTGTTCAAAATTTATCATCGTTGTTGTAATACGCAAATCGACATATGAAATAACAAGTATCCGTGGAGAGAACCTTTTTTCTTCTTTAGTGCGGCAACTGTACAAATCTTGATAAAGAAATGTTCAATAGTGAAATATTGTCAATGTGGCGTAAATGTTAACCCTTTGCACTCCAAGCTTTTCTCCGTAAGGCTTCTGAGAATCCAAAGTTTTGTTTTGAAAAAGGAAAACAAAAGGATTTTTAACGCTTATACTTACTTCTATTTCTTCTATTAATTCGCATTATTTTGATAATATAGAAACACCTGAATTTTACATTTTAAAGTTCTCCGTGTCGCCATAACAGCGCCATTGGAGTGCAAAGGGTTAAACCAGTCGAATCCACGATAACACGAGATAATGCAGTCATTTACTGTAATATTAAATCACAAAGTTTCCCAGCGAGTACTCTGTGCATCCTGAAGAAATTCGAAACCGGCGAGCTCGCTTCTTAATTGAATTCGAGAAGATTTACGGTTGTCTTGACCTCAGGGAATAATAGCTGCCGTAGAAGTCTGTGCTGGGACGCTGATAAATATCTTCTGAATCGAACTGACGTACTTACGATTGAAAACTGAATTTTTTCATCGGATCTAGAAATAGCCAGAAATAGAATCGAAGGGTAGGTGAAAATATTTTCCAAAAACAGGCATGTACGACGAAAGAGGGAAGAAGAGAAGAAGAAAGGGGATGGCGTTCTGACAGCTTCTCAAGGGGGACACTGATGGCACCTCGTTTGGAAGGCAGGCTTTTTTTCACGAAGATTCAGTGCGGCAATAAAGACGCTGGCGGATTTAACGTGGCGTGTCTTCGTTAAGCGAGTCAAACGTGGAACTTTTCCTTCCTTGCCTTCTTCTGGTTTAAAATAACTGGGCTGCCTTCGAAACGTTCACATGAGTGAACGTCGACAAAAGCATGAAGAGAGACCCCGGTGAAATAGTTCCTACTAAGGAATTCGTTGTTCTTTTTTTTTTGGAAAAGGAAGTAAGTCAAAATTTTCCGTATTTTTCTTTCCTTTCTGCAAGGAGAAGAAATATTCCGAGCGACGCGTATTGGCGCCAAAATGCTCCTTCGAAGTTGGGAAGAGAGCGGTGTTTTTCGAACGGAGAAAAGAGGAAGACAGATTTCCGTATTTTTCTCCCTCGTTTTTTAAAGAAAGAGAAATACTCCGAGCGACGTATTGGCGCCAAAATGCTCGTTAATGCCTCCCTTGATGGTTGTTTTGTTTAAGTTTCATCTACCCGTCGGGAGCAGTTAGAGCTTGTTTCCACAGCGTCGACGAGACGCTAGGCTCGTCACGATCATCCCGCCTCGTAAAAAAACCTCGTAAAATTGTAGCAATGAAGCTACTGTCGACCGTGGATCTGGGAAAGGGAAAATCGGACGGTTTCAGGGAATCGCCGATGAGACGTGTTGTCTGTTTCTATTGTAGCAATCAGGTTGATGGAAAATGTTGCGAAATAGAGTATGTTTGAAAATTGTCCTTTCGAAGGGCGGGCAAAGTCGATCTGAAAGGAAGAAATACAGATAGGCGTGATAATGGATTTTCCGTGCTTCGAAAATTGGTACTCGATTAATTCAGAAAGCGAACTTAGAGTAGTCAGTTGGAATAAATTCTACGGCTGGGTTAGTGTATTAGGAAACAGTGCGAGGCTATAAATTGTTCTTTTTGCCTGAGTACGTAGCTAAGCGTTACTTCCATTCGCAGCTGGAAGCAAAGCACGCGACCTGGTTAATCTTCCTTCAAAGCAGAAGCCTCCGAGGTCGTAAATTCACCCTAACGGAGTGGACAGCGTTCCGCGAAGGTACAGAAAGGTGCAAGAGGGAATCGTTTCGGGAATCCCGGCAATAAGTGGCCATTGAACGAGCCTCATTGTGCTTCAATAAGAAGGTACTTCGTAACTGAATTGTGGCTTCTTTCTTCCTTTGTGCCTTATCAGACGTGATTATGATTGTTATTCGACTGTTCAAAGAGACAAATTTCATAGTTCAGTAGGTAATGTGCGAATTGAAAGAATTGATAGTTGGAAATTCAACGAAGGACAATTCAATATTGAAATGTTGCATACTCGGTGTTCAGTATTCAAGTGTACAGTCAAGTATATTCAGCAGTGAAAAGTTGAATAGGAAAATATTTAGCGTTCAAACTTGCAATAACTAAATTCAAATATTCACCAGTGAAAGATATTCAATGGTGAACAATTCAATAGTCAAATGTTCAACGTGCAATATTCGGTAGTCAAATATTTCACTGTGCGTCCAAATATTTAATATTCAAATGTTCAATAATCATATATCCAGCATTTAAATATTTAACAAGTAGTCAAGTATTCAATAATCATATATCCAGTATTAAAATATTCAGTAGCCAAGTTTTCAATAACCATATATCCAGTATTAAAATATTCAGTAGTCAAGTTTTCAATAATCATATATCCAAAATTGAAATATTCAGTAGCCAAGTTTTCAATAACCATATATCCAGTATTAAAATATTCAGTAGTCAAGTATTCAATAACCATACATATCCAAAATTGAAATATTCAGTAGTCAAGTTTTCAATAACCATATATCCAGTATTAAAATATTCAAGTATTCAATAACCATACATATCCAAAATTGAAATATTCAGTAGTCAGGTATTCAATAACCATACATATCCAGTATTAAAATATTCAAGTATTCAATAACCATACATATCCAATATTGAAATATTCAGTAGTCAAGTATTCAATAACCATACATATCCAATATTAAAATATTCAGTAACCAGTTTTCAATAATAATATATCCAATATTGGAATATTCAAGTATTCAATAACCATATTAATTTTAATATTGGATTTATTGAATTATTTATTCAGCAGTCAAGTATTCAATAATCATATATCCAGCATTTAAATATTTAACAGCCAAGTATCCAATATCCACTATTTAATACTTCTCATTGCAACGACACTACTGATACACCACCTCGATCATCCAACCTAAAGCAACCAAGATTCTTTTGCACCCCTAGCAGAGCCAACGAGATCATTTTTAATCATTTTACGTTATTCTCGAGATTGATATCGACGGAAGAGGAAACCTGCTGATAAGACTCTCCACACGATCGCCCTTTTCACACGGTACAGAAATTGCGGAAGAATTGGCCGGCTGGCTAAACCTGTTCCACTGTTAATAGAGCAACGTGAAGACGTAAATTATTGCCTAACATTATATCACCCAAGGACCGTGAGGAGAGCCATACTGATCTATCGCGGCGTGAAATAAACTGTCGCGATTGTATTTCAAAGCGTGGCTAATAAAGGACGCCTCTGCCCTCGCTGAACGACTAATCAATCGTTAATTAGTCATCTGTGACTCGTCAAATGTGACACTGTTCCTCCACTGTACTTTGGAAAATAAGGTTTCTTGGCCTACTTCTTTTGGTACTAAGCAAGAGAAATTCTGTTATCAACGTTAGAAAATTTGGAGACAGATATTTTCTATGATTAACGATGGGAGATCACTTTTATGTATTGATCATGTCCATCTTCAATTTGTGAAAATATTCAGTCCGTGGTTTTATTACGATTGGTATTACAACACGATAGAGAAGTTCTCTTTTACTTTTTTAACGAAAACAATTCTACTTGGAAAATTTGTCAGTCTTTACGATAAAACGTGTTTTCGCATAAAGGGAGAAATGTTGCTTCTTGCGGTAAGTGCAGTAGAAACTTGAACTTTTGAAAAGCACCGTCTCAAGTCAGTTCAGTTTTTCTTCCAAATTGAAGAATATCACACAAGCCTAGCCAAAGAAAATTTTTCTCCCACCCTCAAATTACAGAATTAATCGGTGAAAAGAAAAAGGGGAAAAATAGGAGCTTCGTGATAAATCTTACAAATCTAAAAAACGGAAATCATTGCCAGCTAGAAACTCGCCTGACGAGTCGACCGATTTCCAAAAGTATATCTTCAACCCCATCGCGCACCATCATCACAATAATAATTGTCTTTTTCTCATTCCTCGTAATTTCGATATTTTCGTGCCAGCGAAAACAAGAAATCGATGCTCACTTTTACAATAAACTCGCACAGTTTCTTCACAGAGATGTACTAGCGTGTGTCTAGTATCGAGTTATCATCGAGCGTTCTTAAGCTACGGTATCCTGAGATTGATGTCCAAGTATACGTAGTGTCCACTTCTTCATTTCTTTAAGTAACTTTTACCTTGTTGCAGTCGTGAAAGAAAATGATTCTGTTGTTCGTGTGAAAAGATCCCTAGAGATTCGAGTTCCAGTCGTCCTCCATCCTCCACACGCTGAAGGCGTACGAGAGCTTCTCGTGGGCCATGTAACTGCACGACGACGAAGTTATTTCTCTGGCGGCTAAGACCGCGCTTCTTGGGTTTCGTTCACCTGAAAGACAGGAAATCGACCTTCGTTAATTCCCTTGTTTCGTTTAAACGTGTGATTTATTTCAGAGATTATAGCTGTACTTAGTTTTACTTGAAACGAAAAATATTCAAAGCGAAATCCTATAATTCGTTACAATTTCAAAGATTGGAATTTGAAAATCCGGAAATTTCAGGCATGAGAATTGCAATTTTCAAAAGTGGGAATCTTCCAAATTCCACGCATCATAATTTCAAGACTGTTGGATTAAACATTCCGAGATTCCACGCGCTCCAATTCTAAGCTCTCGAATAAGAAATTGCGAAATTTCAAGCGTTCAAATTTCAAATTCTCAAAGTGAAAATTCTGAAGTTCTGTACATGCTGATTCCAAGCTTCTAAATTGCAAATTATGAAACTGCCGCCACGAAAATTCCAAGATTCTTGGATTAAAAATTCCGAGATTCCACGCGTCCCGATTCCAATCTCTCGAGTAAAAAATGCCGAAATTTCAAGCGTTCAAATTTCAAATTCTCAAATTGAAAATTTTTAAGTTCTAAGCGTAGAAATTTCGAGCTGCCAAATTGC